GTTAATTCAACGCAACTTATATTAGTTAATATTCCGCATGCTAACGCTGTTGTGATATTGAATATGTTAAAATGTAATACAGCCAAAGGGATTGACATGTACAAATAATGTGTGAATAAGTGCACTGCGATGTGGGTGGGTGTTTGTGAGGCTGTATATTTTGGTTGATTGGTGTGTGTGAAAGGGGTGTGTGTCATCATTAGTCGATTTGGTGATACGAACTATGTTACGTTTAAGCAAATCTATAATCTACCTGTTATCATCAATTAAGTATGTAAGTCCTGAAAGGCATCTAACTGTTTGAATTATACTAATTGCCGACTTGAACTAATTTGTATATTTTATTTATTGATTGATTTATTCATATTTACAAGAAAAATGTATGATTGGTTACATATTTCAAGAGATAACAAATAATTCGTATAATGCGTGTAGGATACATGTTTATGATTGGTTAGATTTTTCAAAGCAAAGACAAATGTGTAAATTTTGTGACGGGTAATTTTAAACGATATAATTCGCGCCATGTGTTGTAGTGGGGTCATTTGGTAAAGATTCGTGCTCCCTTATAACATGATTATACCACCGGTAGACACTCTAGATGAGTGTTACATGTTGGCTTCAGCATACATTGTTCCGTCCCGTAAATGTATATGTATGTATTTGAGGAAATATATTCGACCTGTAAAACGACGATAGAAAAGAAAGCAAAAGTTATTACATTTTGCTCAATTAGAATTACGTCCTCTATATTTCACTGTAAAAATGCTGTGCCAACATCTGTGCGTTGGTATGGCAGTGTGTGGGTGTGTGTGCATGGGAGCTGTCGAGTATAAATATACAGTTCATATTGACATATTCAAATAGGTCACATATATTTTAAGTATATCATTCAAATGATCACCCACGACACGATAAAAACATCAGTTAAAACATCTTGTTAAGTACATAATGCAATGTCAGCCTTGTTTTCAAAGAGCTAACCACTTTTGTTTTTCTTAAATATATATATATTTCAAATACTAGAATAGAAACATCCTTATTCAAGTAAGTTGGTAAGTTGGGGTTGTACTAACCTCGAGTAACATAAAACTTGGCGCAATGGTTGGAGAGTAGGATTTGTGACCGAATGGTTGCAGGTTCGAGACCGAATTGTGCGCCGAGTTCTTGTGTCCTTGAATAAGACACTTTATCCCTGTATTTCCAGTCTACCCAGCTGTAAATGGGTACCGGTAGGATGGTGTATGTATTATACAAAAAACTGTTGCGCTCCTTGAAGCAGCATATGTTGGGGCTCTTTCTAAGAGTTCTGGTGTAAAGGGAGGTAATCAGGCTTTAAGTTAAAGGAAAAAAGTTAAAGCACATCTGTTATAGTATGGTGTCATATATTTCCAAGCGCTGGGAAATGTGTACATTTTATGACGGGTATATAATTCGTGCCACGTATAGGTAAGTACGTTTTTTTAACATTGAATTACATTCTCTATATTTGACAGTTAAGATGATTTGTGGGTGATTGTGTGTCGGTGTCCCAGTCAATTAGAGCGTGTGTGGTGGGAGGGTTGTGTGTAAGTGTGGCAGTCCATGAGTTTAGTGGGTGTGTCTGTGTATGTGTGCATGTTGAGCACTGTGTGTGTGTTGGGAGGGTTTTGTGTGGGTGTGGCAGCCTATGAGTGTGGTTGGCGAATCTGTGTATGTGTGCATGTTGGGAACCGAGTGTGTGTTTGTGCATGCGTGTGTGTGTTGGGAGTCATCATTTATTAAGATGGATTTACTTAAGCAAAATAAAATTTTCTTTGTCCAAAATCTTTTGTCAAAAAAAGCAAATACTTTGAAAACATTTTAAACATCTGGCACAGCTAAGGCACTGGCAATAAAAACGCCTGTCAAACTTTGCCACGCAACAGACGCATTCTTCAATTCTCAAGAATATCAGATGACACCAAAGTCGTGTTGCCTTGTAATTTGATAGCTAAACCATCTGACACAGCTAAGACACTGGTTATATAACACATGCCAAACTTTCCCACGCCAAAGACATATTCTTTGGTTCTCAAGAATATCAAATGACACCAAGGTGCTTGACTTTTATTTTGATGATTAAAACATATGTCACAACTAAAAGACTGGAGTTAATTAAACATAGTCACCAAATTGCCTTTACAGAAGACATTTTCTTTAGTTCTCAAAGATATTAAATTACATGGTGCTAAAACATGTCATAACTCCAAACAAGATAACTGTAACACAGCCCTCTGAGTGCCCCGTTATATGCCGGTTGCGCCGGTCTCCTGATTCTTACCAGTAACGCTGGCATCAGGGTGGTACGAATTAGTGGAAGGCACGATTAGGCCAACTCCTCCCTAGGTAACAAAAAATCGCATCATAAAACAGCAAGTATCATCAAAAGCGAGTTAATAAATCTCTTAATAGTTCGAGTTGAAGTTCCAGGTTTAACCGCTATGTGTCCTAATCACCAAACGAAATGGATGCCACGCAATTCTCGGACAGGCTGTAATCTGAAAAGTGTCTATCCTTTCCAAGAGCTATCCATCTCGTTGGAAGGGCTGAGCTTACTTTCATTCCAGGGTCAAATATAATCACTTGAACCATAATAATATTTAACATATTCCATCATATTCCGAGGGCCGCACACAGGATTTTTTTCTGGATTACTTTTCGAGCTTTTTTCCCCAACTCGTTGACCAGTTTTCCTTGAGAAAACCCCAACTTTCGCCCAATTGTCCATGAGAAAACTACATATTTTTATGTATTTTAAGGAATGTATATTTTATAGATTATTTAGTTTATTTTAAATTCATATATGTTTATTAAAGATGCCGAGGTTAGAATGCAGTAAAAGCATAAATTAACCTTGACGCTGATTAGGTGTGATAGATTTTAAACAATATTATATTGTATACCTGTATAAAAGAGCTTTACTAGAGGGTCCCTTATTGTTTGTTTATCTAGACGTAATTAAGGAAGATTAATGGTGACAGCTTAAACTTTTAAAACAATACGCTAGGATTAAACTAACGCTATTACTCAATGTCGTTACCTGACATAATTAACCAAGCGAGTCTCGATCTGGCCAATCAGACTTCGTATCGAGAAATGGGCGTCTTTCGTTAATTGTTTTCCACCAATCAAATATGAGTTTAATCTTACACGTGGCATCCTTAACAGTACCGCGACTTTTGGAAGATATAAATAAGCTAGCTCAAAGTTACCATTTATCTTCACTTAATAAATTACTTAGAAACTTCAATATTGGATCTCGTCTTATATTCAGATAACAACAACACCCGAGAAACCCACTTTTACAATATTCTATCTTACTGCATTGACGGGAAGTGGTAAGCTGGACGTCTGTGAAAAGGGTTGATCGATAAATTTTCAAGGAAGCAATTGTTGTTTTTGTTTGTGAAATAGAGGACTCTAGCCGATGAGGCTACTTTCCCCCCCGAGAACCTCAGGCAACCAATTTGTTTTATGTACTACTATCGTAATAAAACATTACTATGTTAACTACTTCCTGGTGGCTGAAGACTTACACCGAATGCGTATTCGGAAAAAAAATTTCCCCGAGAAAAAGTTTTTTTTCCGACAATCGATATCCTGCACTGTGTAAGAACTTGCATCCTTTGATCTGAAGATTGTAGATGGAAAAGTATCATTTGCATTATTTCAAAGTAAACCTGCATTTTCGTATATCATCCCGTAATTTGTGATTAATGACAATGACTGTGGAAATAATATGGGTTGAGGAACGGAAGATCTATGTTCGTCACGTGACTGGACAGTTCCACCCCCGTCCCACCCTGACGATTATCCCTCCCAGAGCGGCGCGCTCTCTAAAAAAATCTCGGGCTCAGTTTACTCTTCTAAGTTTTCCGGTAGCTATTTAGTAATGCGGAGTATGGTCCTCGTTTGTGGTTTTGGACCAGGTGAGCGCTGATGAAATAAGTTCATTAACATACAAGCGAGCGAATGCCTACGGTCAAAGAAAAATTTCTTCTCCCAAATTTCTCTCCAAAAAAAATTCAAATTTTTTTCCAGTATTTTTCTCTGTAAAATTATTTTCTACGGAATGTTTTTTTGTAAAACCAATTTTTCGGAAAAATTCTATTTTTTTTTGTGACAGAAAACTATTTCGTCCAAAAAAATTTGGAGGAAACAAAATCGGAATTTTTTTTTTTTTTTTGAGGGGGGGGGGATTTGTAAAACGAACATCGTAATGACCTTGACCTTCCTTCATCGGCGCTCACTTGGTCCAAAACCGCACACAGAGGACCAGGCTCCGGGTTACCTATTTAGGGTGTTTTCCGGTATTTAGGATGTTTTCCGGTATTTAGTGGTTTTCCGGTGTTTTCCGGTATGAGTATAAAATGGTGTTTTTCGGTTGTTTTCCGGTGTTTTCCTGTGTTTTCCGGTATATAGTATTGCCGATGATGTAGGAAAGTTATTTTACAAGATTACAATTATCTAAAACTGGACAAACTGAAATTTATCCCAGTTCGCTAGGTTTTGTGTACTTGTTCCTTATACTATTGGATGCGTTTTCTAGCTAATGTTACTATTTCACAATCTAAATTGAAAAAATATTTATTTATTGTTTTAACTAAAAGTATTTATCTTTTTTAATTAACATGGTGTTTCCTGTTATTTCTAATACAGTGCACGCACGAAAATGCGTGGTCTGTTTTGACAATCACCGGGTTAGTATGTTGGGGTGTTCATTTATATGAACACCTACCTTTCCTCAAATGATCACCTGTGCACGTGGTAAAACAACACATTACAGGTTGATCAGTAACTTGAACACCCGAGTCAGAACAAAGCGTCCAGTGTGTAAAAGTAATTACATCCCACTTCTACTCGTTGCCACTGGCAACCTTTGATAAAACTGTCCTGTTTAATTGCAATACATGCTTAAAAGTGTGGTAGAGTGATTTTATTTAGTTTATGGGTATTTTAATATGATCACGATACTAATGTAATTTTAAGTAATATGTCACACATCAATGCATCTTTAAACTATCCTGTTCTGTACACTCTTCTAACCAGTGAGTTCGAGTTCATCATCTGGTCACTGGGATTCAATTTTCACCTTTGACCCAAAGGTTTCTTGGATTTGTATTTCCTATCTCCTTGGTCACTTACTTATAGAATCTTGTAGTGTGAGGTTGAATATTTCATTCAACCTTGGTAGTGATTTTATATTTAAAGTTTCAATAGTTTCATTTATTCGTATCAATTGTGTGTATTTGGTATTGGAAGAATTATTAACTACAGATTTATTATTTACAGTTTAAAGGTATGTGTGGCTATTTGTTTTATCAGTTTTATAAGTTTATATATATTTTATTTGTCTTTGTTAAAGTTGGCGGACATGTTGGTTTTTGTTAATTACATTCTGCAAATACAAGGCATACAGTTTACAATAGTAATAATAGTAACGCTATTTAAAGCATTTCGCTTTAATAATATAATTAATATCAAATACCCCATATTTTATTACAGACAGAGCTATAAGGTACTTCACCTTGTTTCCAGACTCTGGTTACTTTATTAAAAACCCCTTCATGGGTAAGAACATTATTATTATTAGTAAGATTATTTAGATTATGCCTGTATATTTCATACGGGTTACCAGGAGGTAGTTTCCCTTTAAAGTATTTATATAGACTAAGTATATATAAAAGTAGTAGTTAGAATAGAGATTTTAGTGTTAATATGTAATATATTATTTTAATGAATATGAATGAATTGATTTTATATGTTGGATAATGTTATTTATACTGTAATTGTATAATTTCAGGGTTTTTATTATAAGGTAATAAATTGCTGTTTTACTGAACCCTTGGTGTGGTTATTTACTTAATATTTGACCCCCTACAACATTTGGAGCCCGATAAGGGACTACAACAGTTGAAACCTAACAAGGTGTACAACATTTGGAGCCCGATAAGGGACTACAACAGTTGAAACCTAACAAGGTGTACAACATTTGGAGTCCGATAAGATGTAATAGTAATGGTTTATGGTATATGGAAAAAAAAAACAGTAATGGTGTGAATTGAATTTTCTCAACAGTGAGCTCACACGCGTGCGCGTTCGCGAAATCTCCTGAAGGATCGTATGTGGTAGTGCAGTGACATTAACTTTATTTGTGTGTTTTCATTTCTGTGTTTCATATTTGGATCATTATGAGGATATCTATATAAGGTTTGTTAAAATCTATTTAATTTTCATATATGTATTGATATGTGAATTATCTCCCTTACAAGTTACAATAAGCTTTATTATATATATTTGTTTACTTAAGTAAATTTAGAATTATTAGGTAATTAGCCTACTATATTAATTAGTATATGAAAATAATATTTTCTGCTAGGTATTCATTAAACCTATATTATTTGCATTTAAGTGCTATTTAGTGAAAATTAGAGCATTTGAAATTTTGTGTCCGTAAAACTTTAGCCATTTTGTTTACATTTTCAACTTCCTGTTGACATATATTTATTTATAGCTACTTCCTGTTAACCTACGTTAACTACTTCCTATTCATCTACATTAGCAACTTCCTGTTTACCCATTTCATTCACTTCCTGTAAGTTTGCATACAGATTTGTTTTAAAATAACAATATTCTACATTTACATTAGGAAATAAACATTAGTACACACTACAGACATTCAATAACTTTATACAGTACTCATAAATTGGTGTTTTAAAATTAGTGATTGTTTTCAGAATTAATTTTGTTTTTCAGAATTAGTATTTTGTTTTCAGACTTTGTAAATTTAACTTTGGTCTTTACTTTCAATTTGTGGATTTTGATTTTCAGATTTTGGATTTTGATTTTCAGATTTTTGATTTTGACTTTTGAAATTGTAACTTCGGAAATTTTCTGTTTTTGAAATTGTGTTTGAGTTCAAAGGTTTTGTTTACATTTGAGTTCATTATCGATTGAAAGTTTTGTGTATTGAAGTTTGGGTTTGGTGTATTGAAGTTTGGACTTTAGTTTGTGGGATTTATTTTCATGTTTTGATTTTCAGCATTCTTGTTGTGTTGATATTTCATCATCGTCTATTTTGTTTCGACTTTTCATTTTGTACTTAAACATTTGAAAAGTATATTTTCTTGTATTTATATGGAAGATTTTGTCTTCTGAAGTATATATCCTACTCTGATCTGTATTTTTCCGTCTTCATTTCCGTCTTATACCATTGCACTTAACCACTAACTAACAACCTGCACTCAGAATATTTATTTGATCTATATCTAGGGTTGGGTTTGAATTTTTATATCATTGCTGAATAGTTTTGTGTATTGATTGTGGGACTTATTTGTCAGTTTGGTATTTCGAATTTTGTTTCGGAATCATTCTCAGTTTATATCGTTTTGATTTGAGTGTGATTTGTGTTGTTCTTAGTTGGTCGTTTGATTACCAACTGATGTATTTTACAGTTTATTATTGGTGAACATATCCAGCAATCGAGTTTATTGTTTTCCTGATTTCAACGTAATAGTGTACTTCATACTACGTCTTCAAGGAACAACAACTTAGTGTATTTTATTGTTGGATTGCGTGTGTTTTCTTATTTTCAGTTTTAGATTTTGATTATCTAGTGTGTTTTCTTCAAGATGGCAACAGGTGGATCTCATGAAAATCCTGATAGTACCTTGTCTGAGGAAGAAAAACAGAATTTAATTGATGCGTTTTCAGATATGGGCGTTAAACCTAAAACAGATTCGCCGGAACAGTTGATTGATTGGATGTACGGTTATCTCAAGTCTATGGGGAAGGTAAAAGATGAACCATCTGAAGATGTACATACATCAGCCACCACAGAAAATGTTTCTGCCCCTCCACCACCAACAACACTACCAGTTGACAAACTTCGTTTTGTTCCGCAACTTCCTCGTGTATCAACCTTTTCAGGTGATCCGTCTAGTAAAGGGGATACGTCGTTTGACTTGTGGAGATTTGAGGTAATGAGTCTTTTGAAAGATCGTCAACACAGTCCAGATTCCATCAAGATGGCAGTTACAAAATCGTTAAAAGGTGAGGCAGCTCGAGTAGCAATGCGTTTAGGTCACAGTGTATCCACAAGAACTTTGGTTGACAGACTTGAAGGCAGGTTTGGGGATGTTTAGCAAGGCCAGTGTTTGCTATCCCAGTTTTATTCTACCAGCCAAGCCCAAGATGAAACTGTTTCCAAGTGGGCCTGTAGAATTGAGGATCTTCTTGACAGAGCCAGAGAAGAGGGTGAAGTTGATGTAGACACTTTTGACTCGAAACTTCGTGCAAAGTTTTGGAGTGGACTTCATCAGGACTTAAAGGACAGATCAGCCCACAAGTATGATCGTATAACTGATTTTGAAGATCTTCTAAAGGAGGTGCGTCGGATAGAGCGAGATACTGTCATAGCCTCAACACCTACTCCTAAGCCGGCTCTAAGATCCCACATGAAGATGGCGCAACAACCAGCAGAGGATGATTTACGGACACTGGTAGCTAATTTGACTGCATCAGTGCACTCTTTGCAGAAGGAGATGAAAGAGATGAAAAATGATAAGGAAAGACAACCAACATCATTCTTTTCACCATCTCAGATGTCAACACCAAAACCATCTTCACGTCATCAACCTGCAACAGTGTCAAAGCAGCGCCAGAAGCCTTCACCTGTAGCTGACAATTACAGATGTCGCCGATGTGGGGAATGGGGTCATATCGCGCCAGGTTGTCGAATGATACTGCCTGATTTAAACTAGAAGATGTCTCTGTCGAGGGACAGCCAGAAGACATGAATATTTTAAGTCCCAAGAATGTTATTGGACACAGTAATACCACAGTCATTAAATTAAACAATAAAGTATGTTCCGGGTTATTAGATACAGGATCTACCATCTCTACAGTATGCCTGTCATTTTTTGAGAAACACCTTAAGTCAGAGGATTGTTTTTTAACTCCACTTGAGCAGCTGATAGTGATAGAAGGTGCAGGAGGACATACCTTGCCATATTTAGGATGCGTTTCTGTAGCAATACAGATACCTAGTTTAAAGTCAAAGACCATCGATTGTTTGTTTCTTGTTGTTCCTGATACGCCATTCCACAGCAATACACCAGCTCTAGTAGGAACCAACGTTTTGAAGCCTATGCTAAACCAACTGCTAGCTGAGGGTCATAATTTTCTGCAACAATCTGATTTACCAGATATTTGGACAATGACATTCAGGTGTATGCAGGTACAAGAGAAAGAACATAACAACAGTGCAGGAATAGTCAAATGTACAGAGGATTCATCAATTGTGCTGAGCAGCAACCGATCCATCTGCCTAATTGGAAAGATTGACAGCCTGAATATAACTCGTCGTCAACGCTTGTTTTTTCAGCGGTCACCTGATTCGCTGATACCATCTTCAGTAGAAGTGACACCTACAGTTTTAGAGGTGTATCCTGATGAAGAGGGGAAAGAAGTGGTTGTGCAGTTATCCAATCTGTCATTGACACCAGTTAGGATTTATCCTCATACCATCCTCTGTGAGTTACAGATAGTTGACTTGGTGAGAAAGGCATCGGTTAACAGTATTTTACCAACCACATCTACCAATGAAACATCTAGTACTGGTACATTTCTTGATAACATCGATCTTTCATCATCAGCCTTAACTGAAGAACAGCTCAAGTCTTTCAAGAACTATCTTCTTGGTTGGTCAGACATATTTTCTCAAGGAGACAACGACATTGGTAGCATCAGTTTGGTGAAACATAAGATCAATCTTACTGACGATGTTCCGTTCAAGCAACCTCATCGGCGAATACCACCTGCAATGTATGAAGAGGTTAAAGATCATCTCCAGGACTTGATGGAAGCTGGTATTATAAGACAAAGTTGCAGTCCTTATGCGTCACCTATAGTTTTAGCCCGGAAGAAAGACTCATCGCTTCGTATGTGTGTAGACTACCGGATGCTGAACAAGAAGACCGTTCGTGATGCCTATGCATTACCGCGCATAGAGGAGATGTTGGATAACTTAGTTGGATCGCAGTATTTCTCTGTAGTTGACATGAAGTCTGGTTACCACCAAGTCAGCATAGAGGAAGAAGATATACCAAAGACAGCTTTCACTGTGGGACCATTAGGATTTTATGAGTACAAAAGACTTCCTTTTGGGCTTACCAATGCGCCAGCATCTTACCAACGACTTATGCAAGATTGCCTAGGAGACCTGAATTGGAAGATCTGTGCCATTTTCATAGACGATTTAATCATCTTCAGCAAGACCTATGAAGAACACATCGAGAGGTTATCCCAAGTATTTGGTAAACTAGCGGAACATGGAATCAAGCTATCACCCAAGAAATGTGAGTTTTTTAAAGAAAAGGTAAGGTATTTAGGTCACATCGTTTCAGCAGAGGGTGTAGGTACTGACCCGAAGAAGACAGACAAGGTAACTTCTTGGCCAACTCCCACCAATACAGATGAACTGAGACGTTTCCTCGGCTTTGTAGGATACTACAGGAGGTTCATTAAGGATTTTTCCAAGACAGCAAAACCACTTAACGAATTGCTAGTTGGAGGTCCAACTAAAAAGAAGAGGGGGAGAGCAGCTCAGGACAAAGAGAACAATAAATGGAAATGGGGAGAAGAACAACAACGAGCATTTGACCAGCTTAAAAGATCTCTTGTGGAACCACCAGTCCTGGCATATGCAGATTTTTCTCAACCATTTATTCTTCACACTGACGCTAGTGGACATGGTTTAGGTGCTATACTTTACCAGAAGAAGGATGGCATGGAGAAAGTGATTGCCTACGCCAGTAAAATTCTGTCAAGATCAGAAAAGAATTATCCTGCGCATAAGTTGGAGTTTCTTGCTTTAAAGTGGGCAGTGACAGAGAAATTTCATCAGTACCTGTTCAATAACACCTTCACGGTGTACACAGACAACAATCCTCTGACTTATATCTTGACCACGGCGAAGTTAGATGCCACAGGACACCGTTGGTTAGCTGCTTTAACCAACTACAACTTTACCATCCATTACCGTGCGGGAAAGAAGAATATAGATGCGGATGCCCTGAGCAGAACGACACAACCAGATTTTGAAGAAATAGACTCTGATGTAATTGGTGCTTTGAAGAACATTGACCTAGAAGATGGATTTGTACAAACCATTAGCATGTCTCACCAAGCAACACCAGCTACAACGGCATCTACAACACCTATTGTGAGAGACGATGAATGGGAGAAGAGACAGAAGGA